TACAGTAATGGGACTATCACACTGGCCAAAAATGAAATGTTAGTACCTCTTATAGATTTAGAGAACAGTCTCAGTTACACATACATTCTGTGTAAGTTTATCATGTATTATATACATACATATATATATATATATATAATAGCAAAGCACTTATTCCTTTGTATTGAAAATAGTTTTTATACAATATATTTTGGCCATTGTTCCCCCTCTCTCATCTCTTCTCAGATCTCATTTCTTCTCTTTCTGCAATTCCCACCCACCCAACTCCATTTCTTCTTTCCCTGTCTTTATAAAACAAACATGAAAAACAAACAAACCAGTAATAATAATAAAATAATAATAATAATGATAATAATAAATTTATAAAAAAGAAAAGTATGAGAAACATATACACAAAAAAATACATTGAAAACACAAAATCAAAAACAATAACATATAAGCAAAAGTCCTGTAAGTTGAATGAAAATGTTCAAACAAAGCAATATAAGACAAAAACAAAACAAAACAAAACATCTCCAAAATACCACTGAGTTCTCTTAGTGTTGGTTACCTGTTGCTGGACACGGGGCCTGCCCTGAAATGTGGTTTATATACCCAGTGAGATTTCGTTGGAAAAACGAATTTTTCCTTTGCCAGTGTAGTATATCAACTGGATATACTTTCATGGTTAGGGATGGGAGCTTGTGTCCACTCCCCCTTCTCAACATTTGGACCCTGTCTATCTTGGACCTGTGCAGATCCTGTGGGTCCTGAAAAAACTGTTATTTAGTCAGGGGCGAATAGATATAGAGGGTTTTTTGTTTGTTTGTTTGTTTGTTTATGTTTTAAATTATTTACTTATTTTTGTTTTGATGTGCATTGGTGTTCTACCTGTGTGTATATCTGTGTAAGGGTTTTGGGTACCCTGGAACTGTAGTCACAGACAGTTGTGAGCCACCATGTGGGTAGTGGGAATTGAACCCAGGTCCTCTGGAAGAGCAGCCAGTGCTCTTAACCACTGAGCCATCTCTCCAGCTCCACAGGGTCGGGGGGTTTAAGTAGCAAGATCATCCAGTTGCCAGGCTCTGCATCCAAATATGGTGTCAACAGCTTTTTTTTTTTTTCATTTTTTTTTGGGGGGGGGGTTTCAAGACAGGGTTTCTCTGTGTAGCTTTGCGCCTTTCCTGGTACTCGCTTTGGAGACCAGGATGGCCTCGAACTCACAGAGATCCATCCACCTGCCTCTGCCTCCCGAGTGCTGGGATTAAAGGCGTGGGCCACCACCGCCCGGCTGGTGTCAACAGCTTTTACAGGTCACTTAACAGCTTTTACAGGTCACTTTGCACATATGAAGCATATAAACCTTTAACCTTTGTAAATATAAAAAATGTAGATACACAGCTTTACAGCTGAAAGTCACAGGTACATAGCTCATCCAATGTACAAAAATCACTTCAAAATAGCTGCTTACAAAGCAGTCATTTAAAAGGCTATAACCCAAACAGGCTCTTGAGTAAATCTTTACTTTTTTGTTTTATTTATTTTTAAATATTTTTATTGATTCCTTGAGAATTTCACACAATGTACTGTGGTCATATTCACCCCTCCAGCTCCTCCCATACCCACTCTTTTCACCTCCTTACTCACCCAACTTGAAGATGATGGTCGAGTGATATACTGATGTGCGGTTATAGCAACATGTGATTAGAAGCTGTCCTGGTGCTGTGTTCATTTAGCCGAATAATATTTGATTATATCAATATGTCATATTTTCGTTACACAGCCATCAGGAGATAGACATCTAGGTTGCTTCCATTTCCTGGCTATCGTGAGTAAAGAAGCAATGAATATTGAAGAACAGATATCTCTGTAGTAAGATACAGTAACCTTTGAGCATCTGTACAGACATGGCAGAGCTGAAACATGTGGTAGATCTATTTCTAGCTTTTTGAGGAAACGCCACACCGGTTTCCATAATGGCTATATCAGTTTTTGCTCCTAGCAGTGGTGAATAAATGTTCCCCTTATCCATGTCAGCATTTCCCGTCTCTCTCTCTCTCTCTCTCTCTCTCTCTCTCTCTCTTAATCTTGGCTATTCTGACCAGAGTAAACCAAAGTCTCCAAGTAGTTTTAATTTACATTTTCCTCATGCTGAAAGATGCTGAACACTTTTAAAAAGTGTTTCTCACTTTAGAGGAAGATTGTATTTCATCTTTTAAGAACTCTGTGTTTAGTGTCGCGCCCCATTTTAAAATTTCAGTGTTTATCTTCTTGAGGTTTCATCTCTTTGAGTTATTTGTTTATTGTAGACACCAACCCTCTGTAGGCTATCTCTTTTCCCACCGATGGTGTCCTTTGCTGTACAGAAGAAGGTTTTGGGTTTCGAATGGCCCTGTTGGTCAGTTCCTGCAGTGAAGCAGTAGAGGCGTATGGCAGCTCGGCTGTAGACTCGGCGGCAGTCACTTCTTTTCTTCCCTGCTACCCCAGATCTTTTTCTTAGCACAATGCCACCTCAGAGGCTCTACATCTCTCTGAGAAAGAGTAATAAAGCATGGCCTAAGAGAAACACCACAGGGGAGCGGACGGAGGGAAAAGGTGAAACCGAGTAATGCCAGTGCTCAATTGTTCAATCTCAGGCAGTGGTGACAAAAATCCCAAAGGATTTACTCCAATGTCCACAGTAGAAGGTCCTTTCTCATCTTAATATCTTAGAATTCAGAGAAGAAACTACTGTTTTCAATGCCATGATGCAGTTAAGCATATGTTCATTAGAAAACCCTAACTTGTGCTGAGCAGTTTTGACTTTGGAAATCTCACATTCACAATAAAACAACACCAAAATCTGATAAATCAAGAGGATTGGAATTTTACATTTATGTCCAGAATAATATTCCCCCAATCTCATTTGTCTGACTCATAGAGTATTGGGAATGTGGTCCTCTTATGACTTGAATGGGAACGGTCCCTCATAGGCTCACATGTTAAATATTTGGCTTCTAGATACTAGTGTTATTTTTGGAAGGTTCTGGAAACTTAGGAGGTGGGGACTGTAGCACATTATATTGGAAAATTGTCATGTGTACATGTGAGGAGGTGCAGAAAAGGAACCACTGGAAAGGCTGCTCCATAGAAGGGTTGGGGGGATAGTATTGTGAATAAAAGACAGAAAACATCCAGGCGCATATGCAAGAGTCCAGAGCAGAGCGAAACGAGAAGTAGACTGAACATGGCCAGGACTATCTCTGAGAGACAGGAGAAGAGCAGGGAAGAATAGGGGAGGAGACAGTGAGGTAACAAAAGACAGGGAGAGAGCAAGGAGACAGCAAGAGAGAGAACAAAAGAGTGTCTGGGCATAAGGAGGATGAGTAGCTGGGGACTTGAGGGGAAGGTCCAGGAGGCTACCACTGACTTTGAATTTTATAACAAGTAGTTGTGAATAGGGACTGAGGGAGCCTGGAGGCCAGCATGAGTTTTGATATGCAACCACATGTGCATGTCAATAGAGAGCCATATGTCCCTTTTGCCAGGGGTAAGGGAAATGACTCCTTTTGGAAGATGGGAACTGGTTTCACAAGTTCCTGAGGAATGCCGGCTTTTTATCTAACTACTAGGAATCCTTCTACAGTTCAGTGTGAGCTCATTTCTGGATATATGAATGTCCTGAGACCTAACAACATGCTACTTAAACTTTTTGAAAGCAGGTGCTGACTGTGGAGCCCTGCCTCGTATAAGACTCAAGAATGGTTTTAGCAGGAATCCTCTAAAATACTGCCCTGAGTCAAGATGGCCACTTGGCTCTCTGTAACAGGGAATACTGGTGGGGAGCAAGCAGATAAACACATTAAAAACATTGTGTTCTTGAGAACAGACAGAAGCCAGACCATTCCTTACAGACATTACTATTGTTTATCCCATGATATAGAAATGCCTATCATGGGAACAGGAAGCTGGAAGTTTATCAATGGGAGACTCTCAGTTGGGAACTCCAGCAATGATCTGATGGTGTTACCTTTGTTTACTCTCTCACTCAGGCTGCTCTCATTATTTCTGCTAGATGCTATAAGGCCTTGATGGATGGTATTTTGCTCTCTGTCTTGGATTCTATCTACCTGCTGCTTGCTTTTTGTTCCTTTTCTTTTACCTGCAATGTGCTTAATAAAGTCGCCTAATTGAAACCGAAAATACGACTATTGCAGATCATTCTCTAGACCATACTGAAGAGGGTCTTAGCTGGAGGAAGCAGGTCATTGTGGATATCCCTGGGAGCTAGACCTCACTTTTGTCTCCTCTCCTTTCCTCTGTCTCCTGTGCCAGATGCTTCTGCCATCATGATGTCCTGCCTCACGCCAGACCTGGAAACAGTAGAGTCATCCAGGATGGACTGAACCCTCTGAACAATGAGTTCAAATAAACATTTCCTCCCTTAGGTTGTTTTTATCATCTGTCTTCTCACAGTGATGTAGAATCACTAGTGCACGTTCTAAAGCTGAAGTCAATATTTACATCATTTCTCCTCCTGCTCTCCTGCCCTCGTCCTCTTGGGCTGAGGAGACTGTCTTCCAGATTACTGATAGACTGTAGAACCCAGGATTGTCTTCTAAATTCTCCATATACTTATTGACTCAGCAAAACTAATTTCTCCCCAGATTTAGGGCCTTCTGGCTCTAGCAAGCTTCAAAAACTATTAATATTGCAGTAGATATAAAGGTGACTTCTTTCATGTTCACTCTTTCCAGTACTACAGCAGCGATTTGGAGAGAGACGGACTGTTGTTGGTCACGTGGGTTACTAACTAATATGCTCAAGCCTTGGGCAGTTGCCAACCTCACAGTTACTTTGACTCAATTTGACTGAGCGGGAAGATACTCCACCACAGAGTCAGGGCTTGTTGCCAATGACTAGCGAGCCAGGCTCCTTGAGATGTGGGCAGGCTAGTCTTCTAGGAGGTTCACTCAGGCAGTCCTGACGTAAGCCCTGACAAGCACCTGTCTCTAACCCTCTTCATTTTGTCTCTGCTCCCCATGTTAGACCTATTCTTCCCAGTCTTCTTCAGTTACCACAAGAGCAATAATGAGCGGCTCATTATTGGAAGATACGATGAAGATGTGATTCTCCCTTGCCTGTTTACGAACGAGCCTGACGTTGTAATTCACTGGAAAATTCAAGATAACACTGTTCACAGTTACTTCAAAGGCATGGACCAGTTGGAAAGACAGTATCCTAGATATGCAAACAGGACATCCCTCTTTCACAGTGAAATTCACAACGGGAATGCCTCTCTAACTGTCAGAAGATTGAGCCTTCTGGATGAAGGAATTTATAGCTGCTATGTAGGAACAACAAGTAGATATACTATGGAAAAAGTTGTCCTGAAAGTGGGAGGTAAGTGTGTATGTACACTTTAGTAAGGTGTAATGATGTAATTTGATGTAATTCTGAAACAGCGTTTTCTGAGCGAAATATACTAAGATCTTCCTTTCAAGTCAGTTCCTACAAATATACCCCATTATTTCAATGCATAATATCATAGACAGTGCCCAGTGTGTAATATCTCACAGTATGCGCATGCTATGATTGGTATAATCATTCCCCCTTGTTGGTGGATGTTCAGGGTTTCCAATGTTTTCTATCTGTTGTGATGAATGTCTTTATAGTTACATAAAATGATGACAAATTATCTGAACTAAAAGTACCAGAAGTAAGATTTTAATATTCCAATGACATTAGCAGCATAAGGACATTCATTTCTCTAGTACTTTTATCAACACTTGTAGCACGAACCTTAAAAGATCTTATTAATGAAAACAAACCTGGAGCCAGGTATTAGAGTGAACGCTGGAAGATCAGAGAAGCAGGACAAGTCACAGCTACCTCACCTTGCCAGTTCCTCAGCTGATCCTGTTTCCTCAGACTGGAAGCTTCTGAGTCATCATCCAAATGGATCTCAGCTGAATTGTGCTGCTCAAATCCTAAAAGCTTAACCAGCTCTGGTTCCTGGTTTTCACGCCTTATATACGTTTCTGCTTTCTGCCATCACTTCCTGGGATTAAAGGTGTGAGTCACCATGCCTGGCTGTTTCCAGTGTGGCTTTGAACTCACAGAGATCCGGATGAATCTCTACCTTAGGAATGCTAGGATTAAAGGTGTGTGTGCCACCATTTTCTGGCCTCTATATCTAGTGGCTGTTCTGTTCTCTGACCCCAGATAAGTTTATTAGGGTGTACAATATTTTGGGGGAACACAGTATCACCACAAACACTGAATATCATCAGTCTTAAACATCTCTTTCAACATGGTGATGAGAAATACTCAACTAAATTTTAACTGTCTTTTGTAATAAAATAGAACTTACTATTAATATTGCATGATTTTATCTTCTCTGCAGTAACTATCATGTAACCCTAGCCATACTATATGATTAATGTATTCATGGTTGCCAATTGTTAAGTTTATGGTTAATTAAACTAGAATCCAATTAAAACTTAATAAATAATAGAAATAATCCAATGGCCTATTCATACTCATACTACCAAGAGTTCTTGTTGATATGGCATGATAATGTTGAGTGTGCTTATCATTGACGTGGTATGTTAGACGTGGTATGACATCATTTCACAGTCAATTTCATTGCTATTATGAATTTATTGTTAGTTCAGTTGTATTTGGTTATTTTAAATACATATACTATTTTCATTTATACAGGTGTGCAGTGTATTTTATCATATCCAATCCCCATTTACTGTTTTTAACTTTTCTTGGGTCTATATTCCCTTCCCAACTTCATGTTCATTTCATTTTTTTTCTTTTTAAATAACCCACTTTATCTAATTAGCATTTCCCATATATGTATGGGTATGGGGCCATCTTCTAGACTATGGCCAACCTACTAGGGGTCACACTCCTAAAGAAAACTACCCCTTCACTGGCAGCATCAACTGTCAGGAGCTCCTCAGCCAGGCATGTAGGGTCATGTGCCTTGCCTTCCCCATGGTGGAATGTTGACTGGCTTGATTTTTTGCAGGTCTTTTGTGCAGGCAACTATAGCTCTTGTAAGTTCATGAATGCAATTGTTCTGTCATGTCCAAAAGACACTATTTTGCTACAGTCCTCCCCAACCTCTAACTTTTACAGTCTTTATTCCCCTTCTTCCACAATGTTCATTGAGCCTTGGGAGGAGGGTTGTAACATAGGTGTCTCGTTTACGGCTGAGCATAGTTTTTAAGACATAATGCTGTTACAGAGCATAGGGTGGTGACATGTACTTGTAATTCTAGTATTGGGGAGGCTGAAAAAATAGGATCAATGGTTTGAGGTGAGACTGTACTCCATGAAAAGGACCTGTTTCAAATGAAACAAAGCAATTATAAAGATATTACATATGTAAGTGATTGTATATATAATACAGAACTGCAAGTGAATCTGAGTGCATGTAAGGGTGTGCACACCTAGGGTATTCTGTATAATAGAGTGCTGTACAGTAGTTATAGCATTGCATGTTTTGGGGGGATATCTTCTAATATATTTTTAAAATTTAATTCTTATGCTTTCTTCCTCTGACTGATTTAACTGTCTTATATGTTGACTCAGAATGGTATGTTAAAAAACAACACTCAAATAGGCTGAGTTCATAGCTAAGGAGTTCAGAGAGTGTTGCATAAATTATACAGATTTTGATCCTATTTTCTTGCTCAGTGAGGCCATTAAATTTGTTATAAAAGGTTCTAGAGAACATTATTTGTTGTGTTCCCATGTCAATTCTTTCTGTTCTTCCCAGACAACAATACCCAATCTTAAGTTTCTTCAGTTTTAGTTTGGATTGAATCTTTCTTTAAGTAAATGAGAGGTCTTGTTCATAAAATTTAGCCTTTATTGCATAGGTAGTAATAAAGAAACTAATGGCTACAATTCTTTATAACTCATTGTGTTTGTTTCATGTAGCTTTCCACACACCTTTAATGAAATATGAAAAGAAGAACACAGAGAGCTTTCTAGTATGCAGTATCCTGAGTGTTTATCCTCATCCACGTATCACATGGGAAATGGACAATGCAAATGTCTCTGAAAGCAGTACAGAAGTAACTGGGGCTCTGGGTCCTTTTTATGTTAAAAGTACACTGAATATTACAGGATCAAATTCATCTTTTGAGTGTGCTATTGAAAATTCACTTCTCAATCAGACATGGAGAGGAGAGTGGACATTGGCAGGTAGGTTCCATTGGACTTTCTGTGTACAGGTGCTATGCCAGAGGCTGGGATAGATCTATAAGGAAACAAGAAAGAAAACCCAACTGCAGAAGGGATAATTTGGCTTCATTGATTCTGAGCATCATTTCTGATTCATAAAATAGAAGCACCTACCTTACTAGGTGTTTATACACTGAGTGTAAACACTGGAGATTTGCCCATGAATGTCTGTTTATCTGTCTATGGTTCCTCCTCCAAATAGGATTTCCTACCTTCACAGAAATATGTGTCTTTTAGCAGATCACAACCCCTGATTCTCTCCAGTTAAAAGATTTATTAAGTTTTACTATTATTACTGCTGGGTTTTATTGCCTTGATCTTTAAAAATGTTTTTATTTTACTTATTGGAGGAAACATAATGCTACGGTGTGCATGTGGAAGTCAGAGAATAATTTGTGGGAGTGGGTTCTCTCTTTCCACCATGGGGATCCTGGAAATTGAACTCAAGTCTCCAGACTTAGCAACAGGTGCAGTGTTCAGAATGATTCTTCAGGTTGGAAGAGTTAAAATCCAGGAGCTTTCCTCCCTGGAAGACCCCATTCTGGCACAATGTGAAGGTCTAATATAACCTTAGAGGGAAATTTTAAAATAGAAACAGGACAGCTTTTCTCATATGAAACCCTACAGCATATCAGAAAGTTTTCCCCACAGACATAAATACTGCAGTTTGTATTCCTTCCTAATCTTAAATGCAATTTAGAAAATTTATCTGACAGTTTGGTCTTCACTAGTTTCCTTTTTGTTTCTGTTGTTAGGTAGTCATTGGGTGAATCAAAGTGAATCCATCCCACTCTGGTGTATAGTCGGCAGCAACTTCTCTCTACAAAATCAAGACTTCCATGTTAATTGGTACAAAGGAAAAAATGTCTTGGATTGGCATCTGAACTCTGCACAGAACAGAACTGCTAATGACCATCGATTCTCATGGAATAAAGAGCTGAGAAGTCACAATGCCTTCCCCATAACATTGAAGCATCTTCATCCTTCAGACAGTGGGGAATACTTGTGTAATGTTTCTTCATCTGAGTATACATTACTCACCATCCACAGGGTGCATGTAGGTAAGCAGCAAATAGAGCAGGCTAATGGTTTTTGGGTGTTGCAACAAAAGTTTGTTAAAACTTTTCAAAATAGGTGACATGCCATCTTTTGATCAAAGTTACTCTCAGAAGTTTGTTTTTCTTTGTTTCTGTTTTGACATGAAGGGAGATGTGTACATTTGGTGGCTCTAAGGTAAATACCTTCAACTCCTCTTCACTGCTGTGTGTGACATACACCTTAGGGTCTTGGTTTAGGAGCTGAGGCAGTCGGAACAGGGGAAGTTAGAATTGGGATGCTAGGAAACATGGTGATGTCTGTTAATCTGGTGGAAACAAATGGTATTTGAAGCACCAAGAAATTGTCTGGTTCTGCTCACTTTTCACTACACTCAGTTGCCAAAAGTTTTTGTTTATAAGGAATGTTCCTAGTCCACAGACCAGAGAGTTGGGGAATGTGTGCCATGAAGGTGGCTTTCTGGTGAGGTGGCTGGCCTCCCCACCCTTATTCTATCACCCTAGTATAGAGGAAACCCTAATAGTTCTCTTTTATCCCTTAATAAGGATATTTGAGATTGTGAAAATTATTATGTGTTTCATGAATTTTTAGTTGTCTGTGTGTTATGTGGTTTCCAAAGAAAGCTTCATGCTGACTGATAAAACTCCTTTTGATGATATAGAATGAAAAATATAGATGCATATAAAGTTCCTACTTTTCTCCCCAGTAAGAGTGTTGGTTTTATGTAAAACACAGTGATGCCAAAATTCTATTTTTAAGACTGTTGCCTCATATTGGATTCATTTTAGAGTATAGAAAAACAAATCAGGAAGCATCTGCCTGAAGACTACATATGCCCCATCTCCTTAAGCAGAGATTTAGTTTTCAGTTTACCTACAGTGAAGCATCAGGGCAATTCTAGCTCTGGAAAAGGGTTTTTTCAGAGCCGTGCATCCTCAAATACATCCCGTCCTGTGTGCAGGCAGGTAAAGAGTCTTCCCACATTCTCCAAGAAGAGGCTTGTAGCAGGAGTATCCCAGCAGGGAAGAGACCAGAATGAGCAGTCATGGTACTGGGCATGAATTTTTTACTGAGGTTTGGTTTCTTAGTTCCTTTTCTATTGTCATGACAAAACACCATGACCAAGGCAACTCATGAAAGAAAGCATTTAATTTGGGCTGACAGTTCCAGAGGGTTAGAGCCCATGGGCATTATGGCAAGGAGCATAGCAATAGGCAGGCTAGCGTGGTGCTGGAGCAGTAGTTGAGAGCTTACATCTTATCCACAAGCAAGAAACAAAGACAGACAGAGAGAGAGAGAGAGAGAGAGAGAGAGAGAGAGAGAGAGAGAGAGAGAGAGAGAGAAGAGAGAGAACTTAGCTAACTGGGAATGGCATGAGCTTTTGAAACTTCAAAGCCTACCCCCAGAGACATACCTCCTTCAACAAAGCCACACCTCCTAATCCTTCTCAAATAGTTCCTTCAAGGATCAAGTATTCAAATATATGAGCCCATGGGGGGGGGCATTCTCATTCAAACCACTGTATTGTACTCCCTCCCTCCATAGGCTTTTGGTTATATTGCAGTGCATTCACTCTAACTTCAAAAGTCCTCATAGTCTTTTAGTTTCAAGACTATTGAAAAGTCCAGCCTTTTTTAAGACTCAAGATGATCTCTTAACTATTACCCACCATAAAATCAAGGCTGAAACCTAACAGGTCAAACACCAAATCCTTTAACTCCATGTCTGATGTAAGGGCTTAGATGGCTTTGCCCTTCCAGCTTTGCTGACTGCAAAACACTCCATTCTTTTGAGATGGTTCCTCTCTCTGTGTGTAGCAATCCTTGGCTCTTTCATTCCCAGCATCTTGGGGTCTCTAACACAATCCAGGCTTCACCTTCAGAGCTTCGCCCAATGGCCTTTCCAGGCCACCAAGCAGGGAGTCTCCTACTATATGTCTGGTTTCAGCAGTTCTCCTTTTAAAAATTTTTTATTAATTTATTCTCTCATATATTATATCCTAACCACAGTTTCCCCTCCCTCCTCTCCTTCTAGTCCCTCTTCCTCTCCTCCTCTGTTTCCCTTCAGAAAAGGACAGGCCTCTCAGAAATATCAACCAAATATTGCATATCAATTTGCAGTAAGATTAGGCACCTCCCCTCATATTAAGGCTGGACGAGGCAGTCCAGTAGGAGGAAAGGGGTCCCCAAAGCAGGTAAAAGCATCAGAAACAGTCCCTGCTCCCTCTGTTAGGGGCCCCATAAAACCATCAAGTTATACAACTATTGCATATGCAGAGGGCCTAGGTCAGTCCCATGTAGGCTCCCTGGTGGTTGGTTCAGTCTCTGTGAGCTCCTATGAGTCCAGGTTTGTTAATTCTGTGGGTTTTCATTGGGTGTCCTTGACTGCTCTGGCTCCTACAATCCTTTCTCCCCCTCTTCGGAAGGATTCATTGAGTTCTGTCTAATCTTTGGCTTTGGGTGTCTACATCTGTTTCCATCAGTTGCTGATGGAGTCTCTCTGATGGGGATTATGCCAGGTTCCTGTCTACAAGTATAACAGAATATCATTAGGAATCATTTCATTTACTTTCCCCCTCCCGGGGTTGTTTAGTTCTACCCTAGGTCTCTGGGCTGTCCAGCCTCCAGTTTCTGATCCTCCATGCAGTGTCAGTGGTGGGCTTCCTCTTACGGCATGGGTCTCAAGCAGGACCATCATTGGCTGGTCACTCCCACGATTTCTGTGTCACCTTACACCAGCACATTTTGCTAGCAGGACAAATTGTAGGTTGAAGGTTTTGTGACTGGGTTGGAGTCCCAACCCCTCCATTTGAGGTCTTGCCTGTTTATGAGATGGCCAGTTCAGACTCCATATCCCCCATTACTAGGAGTCTTAACTTCGGTCACCCTAATAGATTTTTAGGAATTTTTACTGCACGAGGTTTCTACCTTGCCCCTGGAATGTCCCCCAATTCCAGTTGTCTCTCCAGTACTCTTCCTCTCCCCATCACCCCCTCCACATGATCCCTCCTATTCCCATCACACCTGCCCCAAATTCACCCACAATATCTGTTCTATATGCCCTTCCCAGGGAGGGAGGTTCACGCAACTGCCCTTGAGTTCTCTTTGTTACTTAGCCTTTCTGAGTTTGTGGATTGTAGCATGATTATCCTTTATTGCATAGTTAATATCCACTTATAAATGAGTACATGACATGTTTGTCTCTCTGGGTCTGGGTTACCTCACTCAAGATGATTTTTCTAGTCCATTAATTTGTCTGCAGATTTCATGATTTTTTTTTTAAGCTGAGTAATAATCCATTGTGTAAATGGATTTTCTTTATCCATTCTTCGTTGAGGGACATCTAGGTTGTTTCCAGTTTCTAGCTATTATGAGTAAAACTGCTATGAACAAAGTTGAGCAATTATCTTTGTGGTAGGATGGAATATCTTTTGAGTATATGCCCAGGAGTGATATAGCTGGGTCTTAAGGTAGATTGATTTCCAGTTTTCTGAGAAACTGTCATATTTATTTCCAATGTGGCTGTACAAGTTTGTGCTCCCACCACAATGGGGGAGTGTTCCCTGCTGTGCGATGGTCTTTCTGTGCACTGTAAATATGTGTTGCTCTCATTGGTTGATAAATAAAGCTGTTTGGTCAATGGTGAGATAGAATAAAGTCAGGCAGTACTATCAAACTGAAGGACAGAGTCAGGGCAGCTGCCAGCCAGCCACCAGAGAAATAAGATGTATTAGAACACATGTAAAGCCATGAGACATGTAGCAAAATATAGATTAATAGAAATGGGTTAATTTAAGTAAGAGCTAGTTAGTAACAAGCCTGATTCATCAGCCAAACATTTATAGTTAATATAAGCCTCTGAGTGATTATTGGAAACAGCTGCAGGACAAGGTGGAATAGAGAAAAGCCTTCATTTACAGTTCCCCTTGCTCCACAACCTCACATGCATGAGCTGCCACTAATGTTTTTGGTCTTAGCCATTCTGATGGAGTAAGATGGAATCTCAGAGTCGTTTTGGTTTTCATTTCCCTGATGGTTAAGGATGATGAACAATTCTTCAAGTATATCTCAGCCATTTGAGATTCTTTTGTTGAGAATTCTGTTTAGATCTGTACCTCATTTTTAATTGGATTTTTTTTATGTCTAGTTTCTTGAGCTCTTTATATATTTTGGAGATCGGCCCTCTGTCAGATGTGCAGTTGGTGAAGATCTTTTCCCATTTTATAGGCTGCCATTTTTTCCTATTTCCACTGTCTGTTGTTTTTTGGTTTTTTTTGCTCTTTTGGGGAGCCTACCACCCAACTCCCAAATAAATCACACATAGAGGCTTATTCTTTTTTTTTTTTTTTTTTTTTTTTTTTTTTTTTTTTTTTTTTTTTTTTTGGTTTTTCGAGACAGGGTTTCTCTGTGCAGCTTTGCGCCTTTCCTGGGACTCACTTGGTAGCCCAGGCTGGCCTCGAACTCACAGAGATCCGCCTGGCTCTGCCTCCCGAGTGCTGGGATTAAAGGCGTGCGCCACCACCGCCCGGCTGAGGCTTATTCTTAATTATAAATGCCTGGCCTTAGCTTGGCTTGTTAGGCAGCTTTTCTTAACTTAATATTATTCCATCTATCTTTTGCCTCTGGGCTGTTCCTTTTCTCTATTTTTGTATACCTTTCTTTCTTTCTCTATTGTTGGTGTGTAGCTGGGTGGCTGGCCCCTGGAGTCCTCTTCCTTCTCTTTCTTCTTCTATTTATCCTCTCTGCCTGCCAGCCCCACTTATTTCTCTCTCCTGCCCCACCATTGACTGTTCAGCTCTTTATCAGACCATCAGATGTTTTAAACAGACACAGTAACACAGCTTCACAGAGCTAAACAAATGCAATATAAACAAAAGTAACACACCTTAAAATAATATTCTACAACAAGTGTCCTTTGCCTTACAGAAGCTTCTTAGTTTCAGGAGGTCCCATTTATTAATTGTTGATCTCAGTGTCTGTGCTACTGGTATTTTCAGGAAGTTGTTTCCTGTGCCAATGTGTTCAAGGCTATTTCCCACTTTCTCTTTTACTAGGTTCAGTGTAACTGGATTTATGTTGAGGTCTTTGATCCACTTGGACTTGAGTTTTGTGCAGAGTGATAGATAGGGATCTATTTGCATTCTTCTATATGCCAATATCCAGTTATGTCAGCATCATTTGTTGAAGATGCTTTCTTTTTTCCCCTTGTATAATTCTGGCTTCTTTATAAAAAAAAGATGTCCACAGGTGTGTGGGTTTATGTCTGGGTCTTTGATTTGATTCCATTGATCAACCTCTCTCTTTTTATGCCAATACCATAAGGTTTTTTATTGCTATAGCTCTGTAGTAGAGCTTGAAATCAGGGATGGTGATACCTCTGGATGTTCTTTTGTTGTACTTGATTGTTTCAGCTATCCTGGATGTTTTGGTTTTCCATTTGAAGTTTAATATTGTTCTTTCAAGGTCTGTAAAGATTTGTGTTGGAAATTCTACTGATCCATGAGCATGGGATATCTTTCCATCTTTGGGTATCTTCTTCAACTTCTTTCTTCAAAGACTTGAAGTTCTTGTTATACAGGTATTTCACTTGCTTGGCTAGAGTTACCCTATGATATTTTATACTATTTGTGGCTATTGTGAAGGGTGTTGTTTCCCTGATTTCCTTCT